GTACCTTTGTCCGGCCTCAGGATGAACTTTCATCGAAATTGCATCATACAAATGCACCTTGTTGTTGTTAATGGAGGATAATGTGAACAATATATATACCCGGTTCAAGTATTTGACTCATGGGACAGAGTATAGTGGAAGGGGTAAATGGGCTAATGAACGGAAATTGTGCTCTATAAATGGAAGCTTGCTGAACAGATCCTGTTAAAATTGCATGTTTTTTTTTATACCAGACTGAATCTGTCAAAACTGCATGTACTCGTGCTGGACTGTATGTAACAGAATTGCACTATGGAATAGAAGGAATAAGCAACACAAAATTGAAACACAAAAGATAGCTTCGTGTGTATGAACATCAATCAGCAGCATTAAGGTCGGCATCCACTGTCAGAGTTCCTTCACTGTTGCTGAGCCAAAATCCTAGAATTCCCTCCCTGAGGAAATTGTGGGTCGACCAAAACACATGGGCTGCAGCGATTCAATAAGGAACTCACTACAACCTTCTCAAGGACAACTAGGGCTAGGGATAAATGCTGACCAGCCATCAGTAACTGAAACATGATCTTGCTCATGAGTGATGATTTTGTGGATCTCCCTTCAGAATATCTTTGATAATTATACTTTATCGTCAAACTACTTAATCATTATTATAGTCTTTTCAATCTTCTTCGCGCATCGTTTTCACTATTATCACGATTTCTAAAGGTTATGAATGTTTGGTTAACATTTATGTGAGATATTACTGGTATCACAGTGTAGCTGCTGGGTATTTCACTATCGAGGTGCGTCAGTGTATCTTGAGATACTTAATTCTATCTGCTTGATTGCAGCTCTGTTGAAAGGAATGATTAAATTAGTATGAAGCAAACTGAAAATAAAACGTCTACCTATTCCCGGAAGACTGACATCATTTATAAATGTAAAAACATTTCAGTGATGTTCAGAGCACAGTCTGAACTTCTAACAAAAATGCACGGACCTGCAAAAGGATTGGTATTTGCAATTTACTATCCTATTCTTGCGGCTTTTGGTATCCCAGGTAAAGTGCTGCAGTTAGTTAGCTTTATGTACAATCTGTTAGCTGTATCCCACCGGCGTGCTTTTCATAGTATTATTCTTGTTTCTATCCTTAGAAGGCAAAATGACATTACTCCAGTTGGAAATTGTTTTGCGTTCAATTGGTATATTTACTCATGCTTTTAAAGACTCATTTCTTCCGCCTTAACTATATGAAGTCTGAATTATAACAATCCAATTTAACTTCCTCATTAATACGTTTTTTTTTTCCCCGGCTTATCAGTGCTAATACAAGTACCTTACACAATCCAGTATTACTTGAACAATTGACAACAAGGTGCAGGGCTGGATGAACACAGCAGGCCAAGCAGCATCATAGGAGCAGAAAGGCTGACGTTTCGGGCCTAGACCCTTCATCAGAAAAGGGGGAGGGGAAGGGGGTTCTGAAATAAATAGGGAGAGAGTGGGAGGCGGATAGAAGATGGATAGAGGAGAGGATAGGTGGAGAGGAAACAAACAGGTCGAAGAGGCGGGGATGGAGCCAGTAAAGGTGAGTGTAGGTGGGGAGTTAGGGAGGGGACAGGTCAGTCCAGGGAACCATTGACGGTATTATTTATCCTTTTTTTCGAAACAGTCATGACATGCTTTAAACTGCATAAGACTTCATATTACTTATACAATTTCACTGTATAAATGTAGTTCTGTTGTGATAGTGATGTTATCAGAATACAAACTATCAAATAGTTATTATGGCATAAATCTATTTAAATTGTTTTTGTTCTTCACTGTGGTAATGGGTGGAATTAACATTCTCTTCTCACTGCGTTAATGTTGATCTGTCGTATTCTCGACAATGTTACTGTGGGTGAACTCCCGCCCTTCTTGCAGTTTAAATGTGATTTAGTTGTACTATCTACAAGGGATGTCTCATTTCTCCAAAACGACTGACTACTTTAAAATGAATAATCACATTCATTCGGAATTTACAATGTGAATAGACATAACATTCTCAATAATTGGTTTTATTCTTTAATGAGTTAATGTATCGCTTCAAGCTGCCATCTGCTTGCTATCATTCATCGTCTTTGAGATGATGGAGGTTTGCTATCTTCTCGGTCGTTTTTTCGTGTCGGTACCTTGTTCGGAACGCAGTTCCAGAATTCGAACCAGTCACATTGTGAGATGGATAATACAGTTCCAAGTCGGAATAGTACGTGGCCTGAAGGATGACTTGCATGTGGTGGTGGTGATGTTGGTGAAACCATCATCTGATGTCCTTGTTCTTCTTGCTGTCAGCCATTGCGTGTTTCGGTGATTATCTCAAAGGCGCATTGGAGGGTTGCTGTAATCCAGTCGATACGTACGGCACACTGTTTCTATCGTCAGTCGTGGTAGAGGAAGGGAGTGTTCACATTAGTGCGTGGAGTATCGATAAGGGCGGGGGGGGGGGGGGGTGGAGTGCGGGTCCTATTTCAGAGTTGTGGAGTTTCGTGAGTCTTGGTGCTACTTTCATCGTGGCAATATGAGAGTAATCCCTTGCACGGTAGAAAGTGCTAAAGAATTTAGAGAATAAGGAAATGAGTTATTCACTGGAATTCATAGCATCTGTCCTATTCTTGGAAACAAAGTTTTTGTTTCAACGATGGAGTGTTTCAGTCACTGCTCAATGGTAACACCAGAATATTGATATTGGGAATTCATTGGTAGCCATGACGTTACATTTCAAGGGGCCGGTGGGAAACAACTAAATTTTCTCTTGTTGGAGATCGCCATCGCTTGGCACTGGTGTAGCATGAATATGCTCCGTTACTTCTTACCTAATGGTTATCCAGACTGTTGTTTATGGACATTGGGCTACTTCAGGATCTGATGAGTCGTGAACGGTGTAATCATCAGTGAGCATTTCCACTTCTGAACCTAGTTACATAATCTTACAGAGGTTAGTATTTCAGAACTCGGTCTTTCACTGCTGCTAACTGCTTTCATCAAATTAAACTGTTGCTGTCATTTCTACAATAACGGCTATTTGGTCTGGGTGCCCCTTCTTCTCCTAACACCAGACACCTCCCCATTTTGGATGTCAATTTAGAGTCAATCCCTTGACTTTAGATCTGGAGGTACATGTGGGGCAAACCTGATAGGGTGGGCAGATTCTGTCCCCGAAGGACATTCCTGAACGTGATGGAGTTTCAAATAATTCGGTCGTTCCATGAAAATTATTGCTGAGACTAACAGTTGCTTTCAGACTAATTGGTTCCTTAATGATAAATTCACCCCACAACACATTTTGGAAGTATGCTTCTAGAGTTCGGGTTTCTGGATTACTAGTCCTGTGACAGGGGAGGACATAGTGTAAAAAATAAGAACGCCAGGGTAAATAGTCCGGCACATTCCTCCTTTAAATGGTTTAGCAAGCCAGAAGTACGCAACTCGCCATCAATTGTTCAAGACAATATGTACTGATTTGTTTGCAACCTACATGTACCAGGGGCGAAAGAACAAACATATGTTTTGGTTGCATTTCATTCTGCACCTTTTGAATCCGTGTGTTTATTTTAAATTATACACAGTTTCTAGTGCGAGTCATGGTGCAGGGAGGGAGTTTCAAGTTAGTGTCGGGGTATCGATCGAAGGGAGCCATTTCATCATAGGTGCTACTTTTATCATTCATGCTGCGAGGAAGCATCAATGTGTAGGAAAGAGATTTTCTGGAAAGCGCTTCATCATCTGAAATGAAGGTGGCTCAGACCACACGAATACTTCCACGTAACTAATAGGAAAAACACTCTTAATATGTCACTCGTCCTTCACTACATTGCATTTACAGTTCAAAATAAACCATTGGTCGTTCTTTGCTTTCTGTTCGAGGATACATCAACTATTTCGATTACCAATTTTTAACAGTAAAAAAAGATACAGTAACTGTTTTGGTGAGGGTGTTTTCCGTCCTCAGAAGTGTATGATCTGTTTCAAACTCGTTTATTTGTCGAACATTCTTCTGAGTTTTCAAGTTCACTACTGGTTGTTTAATTACTTGTCCATTTAAATATCTGCAGATATGTCTCTGAGCCAACAGTGAAAGTGAGTGTAGAAGGCACAGAATATACTTCAACTTAACAAATCCACTCTTTTATTCCCAAAATTATTCCCAAATATAATAGTAAAGGGAAACCACACTGGTCACACTTCTGTTAATTTAATACTGCACTTAACTGAAACTCATTACCCGGGAGTGGTCAACTGGCCAAGCTAAAAAGTTCCTTTGTTTCTTTGTTCTCTCGAGCATTGTTATTTTCTGGAGTCATGAAGCTTGTGTTTTCAAATAAACCTGTTGGACTATAACCTGGTGTCGTGTAATTTCTGACCTTGTCCATCCCAGTCCAAAACTGGCAAATCCATATCATTCTCTCGAGATGCGTTGCAGATTTTCGATCCTCTCTGTTTAATCCCTGATCCTCTTAGCGCCTTCTTCCAATCAGAGACGTCTGCGTCATGTTGCTAAGCGCCGGGTCTCCAATCAAGTATCAGGACTGCATTCCCCCTCCTTATTTGGTCCGGGTAGCGGCCATTGTGTACGTGAATGTTACCACCTTCACCTTTTGGTACTTGCTTAACTTGACTAACTCGCACTTTCTCCATCAAGTTTTAACCAGTTCCATCACAAAATATTATTTTCCTTTTCGATTTCCTGTCCCTACGTCGATTTAACTGTTTTTATTGTTATCATAAGCACTTTTACTTTTTGCTTCACTATTATGCGGGGGTGGCAATGTCTGTCTTAGGTTTGATCATAATTTTTATTACAAACATACGTGATGGCAACAGCACAAGTGATGTGTTCCAGCTCAGTTGCCTGTGCCAGTGGTCAAAAGGCATGTGTAAATGTTATGATTCATAGCTTCCTTGTCATAGATGTAAAAACATATAAACTTCATTTTTCATCGAAATCTGTCGATCTCTCCCTTTCAATTACAGCTAACTTGGCAGTGATTATGATCTTGACACGAGGAAGATGCGGTCTTTCTGGATGTATTACGCATTATCTGGTATCCATGGCAGTATCAGATCTCCTGGTGATGATCACGGCAGTGATATTCAATCGGATTTCTGGTATTTATTTCCCAGTCAGCTTTCTGATGATCACACCAGTATGTAGTTTCCGTTCTGTACTAAACTACGCCATCATAGACAGTTCTGTGTGGTTAACTGTCGTTTTTACCTTTGATCGATTTATAGCCATTTGTTTCCAGCAGCTGAAAATTAAATATTGCACTATGAAGACGGCAGCTCGGGTCATAGCTATGGTTTGTACTCTGAGCTGTGTAAAAAATACATTCTTGTATTTTATATATGAACCTCTGTACATATTTAACAGCGTTCCCTGGTTCTGCAGCATAAAATCTATATTTTATACATCACCAGCATGGACTGCATATGATTGGATTCATCACATTTTGACTCCTTGTCTCCCATTCGCTCTAATTATACTGCTAAATTCTTTGACTATTAGGAACATTCTAGTGGCCAACAGAGCTCGCAGGAGACTGTGGATCCAGAGTAAAGGAGAAAATCAAAGTGACTCAGAAATAGAGAACCGGAAGAAATCGATTATTTTACTGTTCTGTGTCTCAGGCAATTTCATCCTGTTGTACTTGTTGGTTCTTGTAACGTTCCTCTATGTCAGAATTGCGAGAGTCAGTTATTTCTCTGGTACAGATTTTACCAATTCTAATTTTATTCTGGATGAAAGTGGATTCATGCTTCAGTTATTGAGTTCCTGTGTCAACCCTTGCATTTATGCAGGCACCCAGAGTAAATTCAGAGAAGAGTTAAAGCTTGTGATGAGCTATCCATTAAATCACATAGTTAAGTTATTTAAACAATAAAACAGCACAGTTTTTATACCTACAACCTTTTACATTCCATTTCTTCTCGTTCTTGACCATGTTGCACAAGCCTCTGCTCCCAGAAGCATAGTCACACAATTTGAAATCTTTACCCGCGGTGTGAATGTAATGCTTTATAAATGATTGAGGCAGTAGATTCCAATAGCGACCATTTCTCTCCCCTCACCCCGAAATCCGCATTCTGACTGGAAGATTCATTCTGAGGAAGGGTCAATGGACCCAAACCGTTAACTGTGATTTCTCTTCACAAATGCTGCCAGACCTGCTGAGCTGTTCCAGCAAATTCAGTTTTCTGTTCACACTGGATCAAAGGGTCTGACGTCTGGTCTGTGATTGGATATCAACGTTTAACGATTCAGTGATGGAATATCATTCTCATTCCCTTGTAGGGAAAGTTTGGAATTTTACAGGTAACATATCCCACGAAACGAAGCTACTGAACTTTTGAACTTTCTTCTAGTCAATAAAGAACTGAATCATGCATATTTCTGGTTCGAGAAATATCGAATCAAAGGGGATTATGAAAAAAAAGTAAAATGACAAAACAACTCTAAGTTGACCTTCTAAGTTTTTCAGTGCATAATTGCAATACATGGAGCGTTTATATATAGAAAGAAATAATCTGACATAGTCCTCGTAAATGGAGTCGCAGGTAGATAGGATCGTGAAGAAGGCCTTTGGTATGCTTGCCTTTTTTGGTCAATGCATTGAATATAGGAGTTGGGAGGTCATATTCTGACTGTACAGGACCTTGGTTAGGCCACTTTTGGAATATTGCGTGTAATTCTGTTCTTCCTGCGAGAGTAAGGGTGTTGTGAAACTTGAAAGGGTTCAGAAAAGATATACAAGGATGTTGCCAGGGTCGGAGGGTTTGAGCTGTGTGGAAAGACTGAATAGGCTGGGGCTATTTTTCCTGGAATGTCAGAGGCTGAACGGTGACAGTATAGGGACTTATAAAATTATGAGAGGCATGGGTAGGTTAAATAGGCAAGGTCTTTTCCTAGGGATGGAGGAGTTCCAAACTAGAGGGCACAGAGAGTGCTGCATGCATGGAATGAGCTGCCAGAGGAAGTGGTAGAGTCTGGTGCAATTACAATATTTAAAAACAGTTGGATGGGTATTTGAATAGGAAGGCTTTAGAGGCTTATGGGCCAAATGCTGTCAAATAGAAGTAAATTTATCTAGGGTATCTGGTCGGAATGGACGAGTTGGAGCGAAGGGTCTGTTTCTCTGGTGTGCATCTCTATGACTCTACGACTCTATGAGGTGTCTTCCTATTCCATAAATACACGGTATATAAAGCAAAGTTGTAAAGATAAACATGTAAAATTAAATGAGGACATTGCTTTCACTGACGATAATGAGCTCCTACATACTGTATTCTTCTCCATCACTCTGGATCTATTGGAATGATATCACAGCAATCAATCACTTCCAGCACTCTACAGCAGACCCAAACATCGATCGAGAAAACCTCAATAATGAAGAGCTCTAATGAAGAGTTCAAACCATGTTACAGCAATCGCATGCAACGAATTATTCATAAGCTGTATGCCCAGGTGTTACTTCGCAAAGTAAATCTATTTAACATTCATTTGGTAATGAAATTCAAATGCTTGCACACCACGTTAAGGCTGTTCCATCGATCGACTGATTGGCTGTTGCCCTCCTCACGTCAATTCCAAGGTGAATACAATGATTACAGCCTGTCCTGTTAAAGTGATCTGCTTATTTATTATCAGAGATAGTAGGAACTGCAGATGCTGGAGAATCCGAGACAACAAGGTGCAGGGCTGGATGAACACAGCAGGCCAAGCAGCATCATAGGAGCAGAGAGGCTGACGTTTCGGGCCTAGACCCTTCATCAGAAAAGCTTTTTTGATAGCATTTTTGCAGGAAGGTGGGTGGGAGGAGGAGTATTCTAGG